AATGTGAAGCATTGAGGTTATTAACCGATGATAAAGAATTTATTGAAGGTATGAAAGAGGTTGTTAAGTCAAGATGTGGGAATCTGCTAAAAAAGTTGTTCGTCACATTATTAGTGACAAGTACCATGAGTCACCCACTAATTTTTTTCGGAAAAATGAGAGATGTAATGAGATTTTTTAATAATAACTTCATAAATGAACCATTCGGAGGGAAAACAGCTATACTCGGAGGTGATTTTATCCAAATTCTTTCGGGTCTACTCATAGCATAGAGAGAGGAAATTGTGGGTGCTACCACCAATTCTCACAAATGTGATTGTAATGTAAAGTTTATAGGTTAGCTAAGAATATGAGATTGCATTTATCTACACGCTCTTGCACTGATAGGGACACATAATCTTTTTCTGTATTGATAAGCAAAGTCAAAGATGGAAAACTTGGACAAGTGATCGATGAAACTGCTGACGTTGAAATCCCGCTTGAATTCTTGATGCTTGACATAAGTTACCCCCTCAAGAGTATAGTGGCCTTTACTTATCCAACCTATTAGAGAACATGAAAAATTATTCTTTTTTTGAAGATAGTGCATTATTAGCACCCACAATCGAATTTGTTAAATGACAAATGAATTTGTCATATCCCTTATTCTAAGAGGTAAAAAAAAGTACTTAAATTCTCATTCTTCATGCCAAACATATTTAGATGTAGTTGTTGAAGACGATTAGATAACAGTTCAATTCTTCTTAATGAAATCAAATGTTAGGGGATTCAAACCATAAAATAGTTTTTAAAAGGGGGTACCGATTATGTTATTGAAGAACATTGACCAAATATATGGATTGTGTAATGGTAAAAGATTAATCATTAAATAGATGTGAAAGAACATTATCAATGTAATTGATGTTTCGAGAAATCGCGTTGGAGAAAAAGGTTTACATACCCTGAATAAAATTTGGTATCATCTGATAGAATTCTCAATATAATAGTCTTATGTTTTGCTATGACTATAAACAAAAGTCAATGTCAAACATTGTCCTTTGCTATATTATTTTAACCAATTCGAGATATACTCATGGTTAGCTTTATTTTACTGTTTCACGAGTAGAGAAAAAGACATGATTAAAAATATTGGTTCTAGATGAAAATAAAAACACTTACAACGATACAAAAAAATGTTGTGTACATTAAAGTCTTTCAAAAAATTTGGAATTAAAAAAGATTTTTTCGAGTACACTTTCAATTTCTCAAATATTATATTCTACTATTCGTTGTTTTCCATTGATTAAAATTTATGACAGAAATATATTTACTTGATTCTGGAATAAATATTTCATTAAAAAATTTAAAAATCGACAACAGTTTCGTTCAACCCCGTGCATCGCACGGGTCAAAATACTAGTTTTTAAAGAATTTGAGAGTAAACGGCGTACTTTTCTCAATTACTTAATGATCTATTCCTTTTAAGATACAAGGATTTCACAATACTCGCACACTATTTGATACATTGGAATTTTATGAAAAAATACCTAATTCATGCCATAAAAGTCATCATGCTTTCTATTTTTATTCATTCCAAAATTAGTTTTTCATTTAGCCTATCATTTTTAAACTTTATGGGCTTCAATAGATTGAAAATATATAAACATATACTACATTATAATAGAAGTATTAGTGTACAAAAAAAAGTATATGAACCAATGATGTATTTCTAATGTTAGGAAAAACACACTATGAAAAATTTAGGGATAAATAGCGCAAAAAAACTCTAAAGTAAAACTTACAAAATGTAGAAATGGGCATAAACCATGCCCCTAGTATACTCCGGTACTCAGGTAAGTAAGAAGCAGAAAGTCAAAAACGTAAAAACAAAATGTCTATAATATGAAAAAAAACACTTCAAAATCTACAAACTATGAGAATAAATGATTTTACCAAATATCAATAATACTATTCTCATCTCAAAATATTCCTCCAGTTGGACTTCTTCGAATCAATCTTGACAATTTTTCATTATCAATTAAATAATTTATGCTGGATAATAGTAAAAAAAATCATTACACTAATACCAACTATACATATTCAGTTTGACTTTTGAATACTAAAACCCACTACCATTCAGCCTCGCCGCCTGGAGGCACAGCGCCTCAAATGCCTTTAAAAACCATGTCTAGAAGCTTACCAAACACCGGAGAATGTAATAGAAAATTTAGTTTATTTGTGAAGCCCTTTTCTAAGAAAAATCATTTTGCTTGAAAATGATTGTCCCTTATAACAACCACTGACTAAACTAAAAGAGTGAAAATACAACCTCAAAGTTCTCATTTTCTCATATGAAGAAGCCTTAAATCACAGCTCTAATGTGATAGGGGAAAACAACAAAAGAGCGAAAACCATCAATACAGACATTGGTTGTTAAAAGGGGGGGCTCATCATCCCAACTACATGTTATAACTCATCAAAATGATATAGCAGTAAACGCTTACTTATGATGCATAATACAAATCTATGGAAATTAAATCACAAGTGTTTTTTTGGAAAATGGATAAACGAGCACGCAAAGTGACAGTTCTGGAATTTCTCACCTCCGAGAAGGAAGAAACAGAGTACTCCGTATCTAAAATCAATCAAGAGTTCAGACAAGTACGAGCAACTTCTGAACTCAGTTCTTCATACACCTGAATGCAACAAATTAGTACCAAAAAACACTGAGAACACCCAAATGACTATTATTGTTATTTTATAATTATCATTGTTTTTGTTGTTATTATTATGGGAAGTTACTATATTACTCACAAGTTTCCAGTAAATTTGTTGAAATGCCTGGCAAAACTTTTCTGCTTTTTCAGTGCCGACCTGTACATTGCAAGAACGACTGCAGTTTAAAAAGTGATTTCATCTTCATCACATCACTTGAGTGATTTCCAATGGCAATATATGCAAGACTGCTAGTACTCATTAAACTAGAGCTATCAAATCAGTCGGTCACATCAGATTTGGGTTGGATCACTTCGGATTTGGGTTACATCGGGTTCGGGTTGAGAACTACACAACCCAACGGATTTTAAGATTTATTTTTAGAATATTTAAGTTCATACTAGCACTTGCATTTTACACTAAAAAACTACTCCCTAATTAAGTATCAAGTTACATTTATAAAACCACTTAGAATATTTTATTTTAATTTTTAATTACTTTTAAGATATATTTAACAATATTATGAATAATATAAAAAATTAAATGTGTACCACTTTTGAGAAAAATGTAAGATAATTATGTGATATCATTGAAAACTTCTTTGAAAATATAAGCTTATAAACTAAAAATGAGTAATAAGATAACAATAAAAATATAACCTTATTTTTCATATTAAAGTACATGCTTTTGAAAAACTCTTACATTAGTTGGTCGGTTAGGTCATGTTCAAGTTTGGTCGGGTTTAACACATTTTTAGCGGGTCATTTCGGGTTCGGTTATCTTTAGGTTCGATCAACAAAACCTTTTTTTGAAACACATAAAACGGGTCGCTACAATTTTTTGGCAGGACTAATTGAAACAGGTCGGGTCTCGGGTCAGGTCTTCGGGTCAAAAACAAATCGGTCAATTTTTTGCAAGTCTAATTGAAACACATAAAAATAGAGAGAAAACTTCAGAGTAGACATAAAGAAAAGACTAACAATGATTAAGACATTATTTACTTTAAAAAAAGAGTTACATTTGAAAACTGACCAACTTGTTTACCAAAAGAGCTCTATTTGAAAAAAAGCAAGTGATAGCTACACCCCATCAAATCAATAAACTCACTCAATAAATTCACGCCATTATATCTTAATTTGTTATAAATTCACTCCATTATATCTGGAATAGTTACAAATACACTCCCCCCGGTAGCATATTGGCATCAGCCAGCCCCTTGAACACATGGGCGACGAGCACCTCCCCCCCCAGCTAAAGAAAACCCCTGGCCCAATTCCAGGCCCAATGGAGCACCATAGAACCCTAAAATTGCATTATGTCATCAGTCTCAACCTAACACCGGTGTCATTAGAATTGCGCCCATTTTACAATAAGATTTATAATGTAAATTATAATAAATATCTTGTTTTTAGTAGTAAGGTAAGCATAAGTAATAAAAAGGATATCAGGCTTTTATTATGGTCAAAGAGATAAAAAGCTTGGGTTGTATAAGGGTAAGCATATCTTTTCACTTAAAGATGGAAAAGTAGGGTGAAGTTAATTGTAGGCCGGGTTCTATCACTTTCCTTGAATAAAAGAAGCTCATTTTCATTATATTTAATGTATTTTTATTAACTAGAGCGTCCCGTAAGAAGATACTCTTTCCCGTCTAAATTTAGTTGTTAACTCTCCAAAATATCTCAGATTCAATGTGTGGGTAAATTAACATATTACTCCTTGAAATTAGTTGAATTAAATGAATAGTTCACAGTGATGACAAATAAGTCATAGAGCATATCAGCCTTTCCATAAATTTATATAGTCATTCTTCAACCTCCACGAAGCCATCACTCATATCTAGGATTCATATAATATGCTTATATGCGGCAACATGCAAATATTGATATAGTTGGTTGTCCATCTCATTTCTCATCGATAATGAAATATTCCTATAGTGAAATATTCCTATATTTTCAAATTGGCCCATTGGCCATTGCATTAATAAATTTAAAATGAAAGCAGAGGCTTACACCTCGTTCACGCCTCATCTACCTGAGAATAAGCCTCAAATATCCAAAATGAGTCTAGGCCTTTGTGGTTCAAAGGGACCGCTTTTGTGCCCCAACGCCTCAAGGTGCACGCGCACCGCCAAAAATTTCTTTGAAAACCATGATTATGCAATCGCATATCATTTTGGTATTTCCAACAACAACAGCAACCCCCCTAGTGTATTCCCAGAAGTGGGGTTTGTTGAGAATGAGATGTATGCATACCTTTCCTCTACCCATAATCCATAAAGAGTGGAGAGGTTGTTTATGGTTTATGATAGACCCTGAACCTATCAACTCAAAAGGAATCTAAACATGTAATCAAAGAGGGTTGGCCAAAAAATTAGTAAATCAATAAAAGCAATCAGCATAACGAAATGCCTGGCAAAGAGAGTAGCACATCCAAGTTCACATATAAGAGTAAGGATCTATGCATGCCCTAAAACTACTAAACATGTAAAAGTAGGATGGAAGGAATAGCATCAACCACTCAAACCAGAGTGACAACCTAAACGGATTACTACCTTATATCCTAATCCTTTATGCCCAAAATTTCTTATCTAAGATTATATCCCAATCACATTGATTTATCAACAACAACAACAGTCCCCGATATAATTCCAACTCTGTTGGGGTTTGGGGTGGCCATAAAGTATGCAGATGTACTCAGTCTTACCCATGTTGCTTTTACAAAGAGGCTGTTTCTAGTAGACCCTTGATGCATTGCTGCATTTACTGCCTAAAACCTCATTGAAAGTAAGAAGGGGAAGTTTGATGTGTCATTTTGATATAGTCTATCATTCACATAAAGCTAAATATGATCATGATGACTCTTTTACATCCATTGATTTTCCATGTTATACATCTCAATTACTCCGTATATTTCATGATATAGACTAAGCTCCAAAACCTTTTGTCCAAATAGTGCCTATAGGGTAATGTCATTCATGAATAAAAACAAGGAATTATATGACAAACCTTTTGTTCTGTAACCATCTTCAATTTGTCCCAAAATGCAGCTGTATCAGTCAATGCATCTAGTTAACAAAAAAAACAATCTAATCCCCCAGAGATTCATGTCACCAAAAAAAATTTAAATAATCATTGAGCATTCAACTTACAAAGTAAATTGCATCAGAACACAAGGATATCTAGTGATTCAACTTAATCATTTCCATTGTGTCCTCTAAAGTCCTTAAAGATGGTAAGAACATGCTTGCACATTAAAAGAATGCAATGGTGGTGAATTTCTGAAGTCATAAAAGTACCTGTTCCATCCTCTCCATTCTTTTCATCGAGTGGTTGGCTTGCCTGATTATGAAAGTTTATGTGTCAGATGCTATGAGCTATAAGATATGATTAGGTCATTTAAAAGCACCTAAAACAGCACATCACCTTGTATCCATTCCTTTTCTTTTAATTAGAAAATGATTAATTTCTCATATCTTCTACAAAATTTAGTAGACAGATAAATATGTAGTTTTTTTAAAAGATAAAAGCCCATGACCTAACTATATCAGATTCCAAAATCAAAATTGTTGTGTGTATGAACCTGCAAATTTTTGGCCTTCTCAGGTTCATATTGGAAGCTAATTCAAAAGTCAATAATAAAAAACAAAAATAATACTTAAAAATGTATTAGCGATCAAACCAATAAAAAGTTCCAGCAACTAATTATATCACTCTATACTCTGAAAGCTACTCCGTACCTCTTTTACGCTGCCATTACTCTTTGTAATAGTACAAATAACAAATACAGTAATATATTTATTTGGTGCGGGTGAGAGATTAGCAAGTGTGTGCGGCAGTATCGATCCAAAAGTTAAAGAGGTTTACGTGAAAATCGCGAGATCTGACGACAGGGAAGAGCTCAATTTGGCGCCGGAATTCAAGCTCATCCATGGCCGTAACTTCTTCCTCTAGTTTTCAACTATTACAAAGAGCTCTGAAGATTCAGCGATTGTTTGGATCGGGTTATTTTGCCAATAGACACTGATGCCTTCTTTTGAATGAGTTCCAACTCATTCACAACTAACCCCCTCCTTTCCGGGGCCGGATCCTCTATCCCACTTTGGGTGTCCCATTCCGGCATATCAAGTAAACATATTTTTTAATAAAAAATCTTGAGTAATTCCCAAAATAGTCCTCTGTAATAAGGTATTTTCCCAAATTAGCCCTCAATAAGTTTTAATTACCTACGTGGTCCTCTATAATTGAGATTTATTCCCAAAATAGTCCTTTGGAATAAAGTGTTTTCCCAAATCAGTCCTCAATAAGTTTTAATTACCTATGTGGTCCTCTATAATTGAGATTTATTCCCAAGATGGTCCTTCGTAAATAATGTTACTCAAATGAGGGTATTTTTTCTTTGCTAAATTTAGAATCAATTCTTAAAATAATCATTTATAATGAAGTGCTTTCCCAAAATGGTTTTTCTAATTAAAGATGTGTATTTGATTTGAAATTTAAAACATTTTTTTAAGTTTTATAAATGTATTTGGTTTATCTCTATGTAATAAGGTGTTATCACAAATCAGTCCTCAAATGAGGATTAATTGGGAGATATTTTGGTATTTTGATAATCCAAATTTAAAGTATATTCTTGAAACAATCATTTTTGTACAATTAAACATAAAATTTAAAAAATACATTGACTATAAATAATTTATGAATTATTTAAAACTTAAAAAATCTTTTAAATTTCAAATCAAATACACATCTTTAATTAGAAAAACCATTTTGGGAAAGCACTTCATTATAAATAATTATTTTAAGAATTAATTCTAAATTTAGCGGATAAAAAATACCCTCAATTAATCCTCATTTGAGTAATATTATTTACGAAGGACCATTTTGGGAATAAATCTCAATTACAAAGGACCACGTAGATAATTAAAACTTATTGAGGACTGATTTGGGAAAATTCCTTATTACAAATGACTATTTCGGGAATAAATCTCAATTATAGAGGACCACGTAGGTAATTAAAACTTATTGAGGACTAATTTGGAAAAACTCCTTATTACAGAGGATTATTTTGGGAATTTACTCAAAAATCTTGCTACAGAGTAAAATGCTCCGTCTTCCGAACCGTCAAAAATACTCCGTCAATTCTTATCTCTTTCAATTTTTTTTAATTTTTTTTTGCACTTCATCACTCTCTCTTAGATTATTCTAGGGTTTGGATTCACACTGGGATGGACACGTCTAATATTTCTAAAGAAATAGAGTTCCTATTGTTGTAATCTGAAAACATATATTAACATAGTATAATATTATTGATTATCCAAGACACATAATTAAGGATTTCCATATATAAGTAAACGGATCCAAAATAATATTAGTATTATCCAACATACATAATATAAGTAAGGTTATGAGTAATATAATCGTGATCATCATTTTCAAATTTAGTATTATTTAGGATTGTTTCTTAATAATCTTTTTTGTAAAAAATAATATTCTAATTTCCTTTAATATAGGTACTCTATTGATTTTTACTCTTATTATACACGAATTTCCACAATAAACCTTTGTAACTTATTAATTTAAGTATGTAATTTTTAAATATAGAAGTAAGATAAAGGATTAATATATGTAGCATGGTCCTAAAATTCTATTTAAATTAAATGATAAATATTATATTTATTTTTTAAATAATATTTATATTTTTTCATATTTATTTTTAATTATTTTATATTATCATCATAATAGGAGTTCCCATTGTTGTAATCTGAAGGAAAGAATTTCGTAGATGGCCAGTGATTATCACGTAGAAAATCTGAGGTCATTTGTTTTCAACGGGAGATCCGCTAGTGCATCGTATATAATTTATTTCCGCTGGTTTACTTGGATATTACGTGGCGTGCTGACATGTTTAAATTTTGCCACATAGACATGCCAAATGTCGAATTTCTGTGCATCCGAGTCTCCTTTATTATATTAAAAGATATGTTTTCAATTTGCTGTGCTAAAAGAGTTGCATATATGTATTGAAAATTTTGTTTATTCTCCATGACATGAAAATATTCTAACCATTTAGCTTTAACCATAAATTTAAAATTATAAAAAGTGTACAATTAAAAAGTTATTTTTTAAAATCAAAATTAATATTTTTAAATTTGAAAACTATAAAAAAAGATATACCCAGTATTGAATACGGAGTAACAGTTAGCAGAGTAGCATTTCTTGTTTTTTGCATTTAATTCTTAACGGAGTAGTTAACTCCATTTTGCCTTTTATTATTAAATAATAATATGCCACATGGCAGTCACATAAATGTGGGATAGATGAATGGGACACCCAAATTGGGATAGAGGATCCGGCCCCCTCCTTTCCATATTTTTAGTTTTTCTAATTC